TTTCCTTTTTTTCATTTTTTTTCATCACAGAATCCTTGTGGAAGCAGCCCATGTGAGAAAAATTCTACTTGTCAAGCTGGGTGTACTTCAAAAGGATACCGTTGTGTATGTCCACAAGGACTCGGGGGAGAGAGTTGTGACCAAGGTGTTTTAAGCTTATTCGTCAATTAATGCAAATATTCCTGCCTTTTAATGCTTCTTGGTATTCTTGTATTTCTGCTCAAGAAAATTTCCGAAATTCTATTAAGTCATTGACTGCATGTTTAAATGTGTTAGTTGTGTATAACGGGAAACCTCATTCTCACTTCTCAGCAAGTATTTGTTTATATCAATAATCACCTTAGTTTTCGATGGCCAATCCGTTTCGTGGCTGGCTTGGGCAATCGCTAACCTCACCTCTAACACAAATCGTCTAATTACGATTTATAGAACAAGAGTTATTATGTTACGACTTGTAGTGAGGGAGTCATTCGTGCCAGCCTATTGAAATCATACATAAAAGCTTTACACAAAAAGTATTCGATTTTGATGTTTTGTAAAGTGAGAATACAGGGATCAGACCAGTACAACAGAGAGACCTACAGATCACTGCATCGTGTTCAAGGACTCGTATAAGCACCTTTTCTACTTTTAATTTTTCTAATCATTCTGACTCAGAACTGTTCTCAAGCCCCAAAGGAAACAGGAGTCTACAGAATTTCTAATCATAGATCAGACTCGTTCCCAGTGTACTGCGACCAGACAAGTGATGGAGGTGGTACGTCAAACTAAATAAGAGGATCTCGATGGGTTAACCGTTAGGCGTAAAACGGCCAAAAAATGAAACCGTTATGCATATTAAATTGACAAATTTTAACTCTTCACGGTGGCCAATTTACGTTTTCAACTCAGTTGATAACACTTGATTACCTTGTTATACTCTCCCACCGACGCAGAAACTTACCCCCTTTTTCCGAATAAGTAGTTGATTTAGAGTTGGCTAACTCACTTGGCTAGGAAGGTCCTTGGACTTAGGTCATGTCCATTCAGTCAATTCGTAAAACCATATCTAGAGTTTTCCAAAGGAACAAGCATTTTTCACGAACCTGGACTATTTTTGACAATCTTTTTTCTATTTTGAGGTTGGACGATGATATTCAAATACATTGGAGGAGATTCTTCCTCTCCGACTGGTGACACTTTATGGAGTTCATCCGACACATTATCAGAAAATATTATCGCTGCCTTAGATACCACTTCAACCTACCAGGGAAACTACAAAAACCGTATCGTTCAAAGTTGGCAAACTTTTAACCCTCGAGAGGTACGTCCGGAAAATATCTACACCACAGAGGGTTAGGCTAAATGCACCTTAGCTTACAATTTTCTTATACAATGTTAATGTATTTCCATAGAAATGGCCTGTAAAAATAAATCAGTTAGACTTTTTTGGATTTTTTTTTCCATTTGCCTGATCGAGCTTTCCATCTTATGGAAGTCTTCAAATTGTCTGTCACGAAACACTTTTCCAGATGCTTTTCATCATGTTCCTAAAGACAAACCAAGCGGACACTTTTCTGAACTGCTTGCCTCTTTATAATATAAAAGAACATAAACTAAAAACAATTTGTTTCAAAGAGTGATATCACTGGCCATGCAATGAGATCTCTATTTGTTACGTTCTTTTGTTTACCTTACTTCCCAAACCTTTAGGATGAATGGTCGTGGCATTTCTGAGCTGAAACAAAAGTGCTCATTCAGATATTACGTTGAAAAGTACTCAGGGTGTTAGCTTTTAATGCCTCGAGGATGATTGAAAAAACAAGGGTTGCCGTGCCAAAGACAGAGTGATACTAGAACCAAGCCGATAAAACAACTTCTTGCTCAAAACCCTTGCCTTCTCGAGTTTACATATAGTCATGTTATGTGGTATTGATTGATTGATATTGATTGATAAACTGTCGGAATCCTTCAAAATAAGTTTGTAAAAAGATAATCAAAAATTGACTAGCAATTCTTTAAATCCCCCGTTTTAACGATTCTTATCTTACCCCATACTCATGTATTTGACATGTAGACAACAGATCATTTTCTTGTATGACTTTAGGTTCGTGTAGTGCTTTACACGAATGGAGCAGAAGTTATGTCTATGAAATTCAATGCCAGAGGAACAACTAACGTGGACTGGTTTACACAAAATAATCTACTTCAATCACCATGGACAGATCTTAAGAATGCGACAACTTTAAAACCCTTTCGCATCAAGGGCCATCACGGTGCACGAAACTTTGAAATTACAGCTAAGTACGCAGGATGCCCTAGTGATGTTGGGTGGTTTATAATCGGAGGATCTTACTGTGCCTGGGAGAGATTTCACCCTGTGCCGGCAATTCTATACAGCAAGAAAACTCATAAAATCACATGGAATAATAGCCAAGGTAGAGATTGATTTTAAAAATCTTGAAATACTTCTGTTACGGTAAAAATTGATTTAAGAAGTCTTGGAATACCTCCATTACTGCTTTTGTTTGTTTGTTTGTTGGTTGGTTTTTTCCAAATCAGGAAAATAACAAGATATTTCCTACCTCATGGAATGGTTTCGTTGTCATTCATTTATTATTTTTTTTATTAAAGCAGATAAAACGGTATGGAATAACGCTTCTGTTTTGCCGTGTCAGATAGAGAGTACTCGTCAGATTGCCATATCGACCTTTCATAAATATGGTGCAATAGTGATATTTTAAGACGCCTTCCTCTTTTTATTTCATCTGGGTGTCAGAGTTTGATTGCAATAGTTAATTACTGGAAAAAATCTCGGTAGGAAATTTAGAGGAGAACTGAAATAAATGCACGAGTCATCTGAAATTTAACCTCTCCGATGAATAAAAGGCCGGTGCTCTAAAACCGGTTTCACTCGGAAAAGGTCACTTTTGCCAACTTCTTTTATGTTTTCTGCTCCATTTATCTCTAATTATGGATTATGCATTATGTTAGTAGTCTATTTAATTAGATCTCAATAAATAGTTTACTATGTATTATTTATCGCTAGTTTTTTTTTATTATATTCTTTTCTGAAGCCGACGTCGGAGGCGCTGCTGAGGTTATGGTTGTGTACGTACGTTGAAGACCAAGGATGCCAGGCAATGAATAATCTGAATGAAATGTTGAGAAGTAAAAATTATGTTTTAACGTTATACGCAAAATGACTGCAAGATCCTACAAATCATATCGAAGTGCTTTACTGCTGACCTTGATGGTTTTCGAGAAGAACGGGCTCGTTGCTGCCAACGAAGCCTATCCTTAACAGCTTTCCTCTTTGCTCGAGACATTTTCTTTTCGTCATTGTCAGATGGATGTTCGTTGACCATAACTTGCCAACGAAACTCGCTCTTATCAGATAGCTTTATGGCCTTTATTCTTTTCGATATTAGAGTAATACCTTCCCCTGGGGCGCGTTTCGCCCTCTCTAAGAAACTACTTTTCCGGGCGTTCGAAGCGTCATGCCTCTTATCGAGGACTTGAAAACTAATGATCAAGTTGCTGTTAGTTGCCCTTACAGACGCAGGTGTAGTTCTCACGACGAGCCTTCCTTACGGCTTGGTCAACTGCAGTGCCGTTATTTACAGAAAAACTTTGAACAAATTTGGCTGGCGTAGATTTGATCGCGTTAAGTTTTCTATTAAAGAAGCGATCGACGTTGAAATGGCAGATTTGATTGCTTGAATAATGGATGGATCGCGATGGATCCAATATGGCTACACCATCATCTGCTGTGTTTGTGAGGCGAGATGCTAAAAGCTCGTCCATCTTAAAATTGCCTGTGTGGCGGTGTTCACAGACCCGACGGACTAACTCTCAATTTTTATTACTCAACACTTATATACCGTTATTCAAATAACTTAACACATAACTTAAGACATCGAAACACTCACCAATAAACACACATTGCCATTCTGAACGTGCAAGAAAAAATAATATCTGCTCAACTTTGTAACACAGATATGTTAATATTCTTGTCAAATTGATCATTTACTTAGTGTTATAGTTGTTGTGTTAGTTTTTATATAAGATGGGAATTTCAAACAACTTTGTATTAGTTCGATAACGGTACGTATGAAGTTAGCAAGAAAAATATACTTAACAATTGACGGCATTTCATCCTTGCCGCCTCTATTGAGCAAAACTGGCCATGGAAACGGAGTTTAAACGCCTTGGTGTTCTTTTAAAAAATATATTTAAAATTTCCTCATATTTATTTAATACTTTTTATGGACTTATTGTTCAACAAAACTGTACCATTAAAGGTAAATGGACAGAACTCTCGACAGCTATTGGATGAAAAGTAAACAGGAAGTTTATTGGAGCTAATCTCACGCTTAGTACAGCTGACAAACAGTCAGTTTGTACAACTCCATGTCTGTATGACTTTGTGCCATGTCTTTCACTTGGATCTGTTTTCTGTCAGTGGATCTGTGTTCAATGATACCCAAGATTGCCTGGTCACAAGGTTGGTTATTCAAGTATGTTCTTGACAAAATGAAAACTGAGAAATTGATTCGTTCACTGCTACCGTAAAAAAAACATAAAAAGTGCGATTAACAGAAAATAAAGTAACGGTGTCATCGTTATTGTGTTTTCAGTGTCTGCTGCAAGCTACAGATGGCGGCTTGTCAATTTCCTTGTGGAAATAGCGCGTTAGCATTAACCGCTGTTTGCTCTTTGACATTATGGGCTTGTTATTTGTGCAAGGCCAAACAAACAAAATTTCGACTCTCACAAATGAATATATGATGGGAATTTTAAACAGCTTTGTGTTAGTTCGATAACAGTGGTTATGTGTAAAATAGCAGCAGAAATAACCTTAACAATTGACGGCCTTTCATCCTTACAGCCTTTATTGGGCAAAATTGGCCATGGAAACGGAGTTTAATCGCCTTGGTATTCTATTAAAAATATATTTAAATTTTCCTCATATTTATTTCATACCTTGCATAGGCTTCTTGTTTAACGAAATTGTACCGTAAAAGGCAAATAGACAGAACTCTCGACAGCTATTGGTTGAAAAGTGAACAGGAAGTTAATTGAAGCTAATCTCATGCGTAGTACAGCTCTGACGAAGGACTAACGCTCGAAACGACAGCTTTTTCACCATTTAGGGTGGCTAATTTACGTTTTCAACTCAGCTGTTAACACTAAATTACCTGCTATACTCTCCCACCGACGCAGCACCACAGTTTCATTAGAAACTTACCCCTTTATTCATGTCTGTATGACTTTGTGCCATGTCTTTCACTTGGATCTGTTTTCTGTTACTGGATCTGTGTTCAATGATACCCAAGATTGCCTGGTTACAAGGTTGGTTATTCAAGTATGTTCTTTGAAAAAATGAAAACTGAGAAATCGATTCTTTCAAAAACCAAAAATGTACATACACAAAAAAGCATGATTGACAGAAAATAAAGCAACGGTGTCATCGTTATTGTGTTTGCATCGTCTGCTGTAAGCTACAGATGGCGGCTTTTCAATTTCATGATGGAAATAGCACGTTAGCATTTACGGGTGTTTGCTCTTTGACATTATGGGCCGGTTATTTGCTCAAGGACAGAGTAATCCAAACCACGATTTTACCACATCCAAACGTTTCTGTTTAATCTTTTACAGTAGGAGGATATATATTTTAATATTTTGAGAGAAGTTGTGGGCCCTTAGTGTACTTACTCATTTCCTCATTAAAAAAACATGGGGAACTTTTATCTGTCTTTCACCCAGAATAGTTTTGCGAGGCGTATCACTAACAAAATTTCGACTCTCACAAATAAAGGAATTTACCAGAGTGGCAATTATTCTGCTTTGCGCGGAACTTAAAAGCTAAGCGCCGTAGAAAAGCCTTGTAAAAATAAATAAGATAAGTTAACAGTTTCCTAATTAATATTCATGTCTCGTAACCTTAGTAAGGTATTTATGAGAAAATGGAAGCAGTTCCTCTCCCGACATAAACATGTTATCGAACATTATCATTCCGAATTAGGGTGAAAAGAAAAACTTTTCAAGCCAATTTTGCGTACAAATTCAGGTCATTCCCGTAGGTGTGTAATATTTGTAGACACGTTTTCCAACTTCAAACAGAACCGTTAATTACCCGCGGCTATTTAAATTAAACCGAGTTAAAAATTCCAGATAATTTTGTTTAAATTTTGCATACGCGAAAAAACAATTACCGAGTCACCTGTTGTCAAAAAGAAAAGAAGAAAAATTAACATTTTCCTGATATGATATTAACCACCAACGAAACAGAAGAACATCTTTGTCATAACAAGTTAAGCCTCCACGATTTTTGTCTTTTTAGATTAATTTTTAACGGAATCTAATTTTTAGGGCATTTTATAAACTTTGACATATTTTTTTTCACCAAGAGAAAACAAACGCCTTTTTGACACAGCGTATGACTTCCTTTGTCTAAACATCATATCTGCCTCAATTGCAATCAAGAGGCAATTTTTTAGCATTCTTAAAAGACTAAAGATTCTGTGGAGGAAGTTCAAAGTATAATGAAAAAAAATGGATTTCCTTAAAGATAAACGAAAAATATTTCGCAACATTAGGCCTCAATTTAATATCTGAGCGCCATTCCAGCGAATTAATCAGTGATAGATTCTCTGAAAGCACCCGCTTATTTTTCTGTTGACCGGTTTCATTTGCCTTAACGGAAACAAAGTCGAATAGCCTACAATTCAAAGTTTCTAGTTTGCAGGAATCAAGACGTTTCTTCCCCAAATAATTACAGTTAAGAATATTCTAACTTATAGTAATTATCTTCAACCCACAGAAACTCGTAATAATTTGGATTCTGAGTATTGGCAGAATTCAAGACAGAATCTGCTTTCAGTAGACAAGTTCCATTATCTAAATGTACCCCGAATTGAAATGATCACACCACATGATGACTTTGAGTGTATCTTAATATGTCTACATCATCCTCTCTACGTTTCTGTGAACTTTGCCGCCAAAGGAAAAAAGTGGTGTACATTATTATCCTGTTACAAGTTCAACGACCCCGACAAACTCAAAGAAAGCAAGAGTTCGCATGACTATTCGTTTCCAAATGCATCACTATCAGTTTTCCAAATGCTTGTACTTGCTATAGATGTAAGGAACTCACATTATTTAAGGCGGATAGAAGGCAATTACCAAGAGCCTCTAGGGATGAAATAAATTTGCATCGACACATCGATAATGTTGATCAGTTACGGATAATGATGGGTTGTTCTTCTTTTTAGTTGTGACAGCAAGTTCAGATGAGTGCAGAGCCATTCTATTCAACCCAGTCATCAAAGACAAGTATTTACTTAATCACATAATCAAATCTGTGCCAGTTGAAAGTGAAGTAGGCTGTGAACTAACTTGTTATGGGGACCCCAACTGTGTGTCTTACAACTACGGGCCACTATTACGTGAGATTCCTTTATGCGACCTGAATAACAGCACTCATTTACAAGTCACCAGCATGAATTTCATAACCAGAAATGGCTACAGCTACCGAGGAATTGAGGTAAGCCTTACAACCTAAACACAACCAAACGTTTTTTTTTCGTTGAAACTTCACTTGAAACGACTGACTGGTTGACCAGAGAAATATAAACAGAAAGAAAAGGTAGCTATTTTCTGGTATGATTACCTGAACTCTTTAATTCGGTAATTTTAAATCAGTCGGACGCGGCGTGGCATAAACAGACCTCTTTCATGGCGAAATTAATTTCTCAAATGTGGGAGATCAGATAAAATCTCCTTGAGGTTTAATGCTTTTTCGAAAGAATGACTCTAATGACCTCTATTCAAAATTACAACGATAATAATAATAATAATGATGATAGTAATCCCTCAAGAAGCACACGTGCTCTTAGCATACAAAAAGGAAAAGCACTGTTTCCTTTTTTTTTTCATCACAGAATCCTTGTGGAGGCAGCCCATGTCAGAAAAATTCTACTTGTCAATCTGGGTTTACTTCTAAAGAATACCGTTGTGTCTGTCCACAAGGATTCGGGGAAGAGAATTGTGATCAAGGTATTTTAAACTTTATTCGTAAAGTAATGCAAATATTCCTGCCTTTCAATGCTTCTTGGTATTCTTGTTTTTCTGCTTAAGAAAAGTTTTGAAAATCTCTC